CCTGATCAAAAAAAAAAAAAAAAAAATCAGTCGGGGGCCACACACAAGTGAGAAGCAAAACAAAAACAAACTCTCGCTGACGTGACCCCTGACTGGGAAGGAGAAAGGCACTCCCCACATTCCCCCTCACACACCAGAGCATGGGGGGGGGGGGTCTGTGCTGGTGCTCCAGCCCCACAGGGAGAGAGCAGGGGGGCTGGAGCGCCAGCACAGGCTCTCTGATGCTGGGGGGAGCCCTGAGCCTTGTGGGCTGCATCCAGCCCCCAGGCCTTCAGTTCCCTACCCCTGATTTAAGGAGTAAATGGCTTTTTCATCCACATAAAAAAAGGGAAGGGACATATGGCGTCATCCTCAATGTTGGTGGAGATGGATGCAATACCACTGCCTGGCCTGCTCCAGCATGTGTGAGAGAGCACGTCACCCTGTGATGGCATGGAACGAGGAGAGAAAGAGGGGGAAGAGCTGGGGTGAGGAAGGAGAGATGAAAATGGAGAGATAGAAAGGATGGTGTGGAAGGGCGAGAGAGGCAGAGGGGTGGGGGAAGAGGCTAGGGGTGAGAAATGGAGAGGCGTGAAAGAAGAGGGCCAGGAGAGAGGATTCGTGACTTTCACATTTGCACCACAAGCTGCTCTTCTCAGCTTCAAAATATTTCCCAAGACTGCCCCGTTCTGAAGTCACCATCCCACCACACACAGCATCAGATAGTCACATGATCCTCTCCCATCATCAAGGGCCTAACTCTCCAGTGAAGTCAACAGAAAGAACCCACTGCTTTCTGAACCTGGCTCCAAAACACAAGAGCAAAACTTACCACATCACTATGTGTTGTATAAAGATTGTCTGCAAGGCTTTCCAGGGCAAGCCACTTCACTGGCAACTTTGAGGCACAGCCCTGACGGTAATAGTCTCCACTGTAGATTTTCTTAGATAGTCCAAAGTCTGCAACGCACACATTTATATTCTCATCCAACCTAAGGGAAAATGTGAATGAGTAAGAAGGCATCTATTGGCTACATTCAGGAAGCTAGAAAGAAGTCCAGGAGTGACCAGCTCAGGGCAGAGTAATGAGTCTTAGCTCACCAACTCAAACAGGCCCAAGAATTGGTCATGTTCCCAGGTCATCCCCCTTTGGAAGCCGATATGAAATAGAGTGGAGGTCTAAGTACAGTTCCTGAGGACAAACGGGGGAATCACTATGACCTCGGAAGTGGGCTAGCCGAGTGACTTCCACCTAAAGGGTTCCAGAGAGAATCTCCTCTCCAAAGACTGTGTGCAAAATGGCATGCTTAAAGTTGCCACTGCCTGGGCCAAATTTTCAAAGATATTTCAGTGCCTAAAGATGCAGAGAGGGACCTAGTGGGCAGGAAGTGGTTTTATGTAGATGTACACCAAGTTCTACTAATTAAAACATAGTTTGGTTTGTTCTCTTACGCCATCCCCCATAGCCAGGGGAGAAGGAAAGATGTGAAATAATGCTCTCTCCTTTCATACACCAGACAGATGATTGGGAGAGAGACACCACAATGCTTCATCCTGCACAGCTGTCAACAATTTAATTATTTCAAGAGAAAATCCTCAACATGAGCCCGGATCCATGTATCCACCAGAGGGTTGTGTGTGTACTCTGGGGAATCCTAGTTTCTGTATCTTTGTTATCAAGCCCTCAAAGCTGATAGTTTTCTGGCTATTCTAACAGCTCCTTTCTCTTATCACAAACCAAATCCGCACTCTGCTCTGTATATTGCATTGTGTCACAGAATGACATAATGCTGCAAAAAGATAACATGCACCCTCCAGCCCCCCAAGCATCAACCCTGCAAAATACACACAGAACCCAATGATGGGAGTGCTGGGAACAGTTCAATTTGCATGCCCAGCTGAATCTTAGGAGTCACCCATGATGACTCGCCACTCTTCCAAGAGGAAATAAGGTGCGTGTTTTTAACGGTGAGAGAGAGTAATCATTACAGTAATTTACCAAAGGTCATGGTAGAGTTTCCATCAGTGACAGTCTGAAAATCAAGGCTGGATGTTTTTTCTTGAAGTGATGCCATAGAAATTATTTCAAGGAAGTTCAATGACCAGTGTTATACAGGAGGTCAGACTAGATCAGGGTGGGGAACCTAATGCCCTACGGCCATATGTGGCCCCCAGCTTTGCCAGGATCTAGGCCCCGATGTTCGGAGATTCCTCCCCCCAGCATTGGGGAGCCCATGCTGGTACTTTAGCCTCCCCACTGTTTCCCGGTGGGACTGGAGAACACAAAAATCTACTGGCATGGGCCCTGCAGGGGAGTGTCTTTCTCCTCAGTTGGAGACCACATCAATGAGGATTTGGTTTTCTTTTTTTGCTTCTCACTTGTGTATGGCCCCCAACTGATTTTTCAGTGGGTCAGTGGCCTGCAACCCAAAAAAGATTCCCCACCCCTGGACTAGATATCACAGCTGGCCCCTATTGGTTTGGAATCTATGAATCTTTACACAACTAACAGGTCCTAGCTTCCCCATATCTGTTGCCACTTTATTGGGAGGAAGGACTGGTAACCCTCCAGTAGAAGCCAAGCCAGCCTCCCTCCTCCCTCTCCCAATGTGATTTCATGGGGCTTCTCACCCCTTTCTCTCTTATCCCACATACAAAGACTTTGCCTCCTTCCCTCCCTAGCCTTTGTTTGGTCTGAAAGTGCCCAGCTCACTTACATGCAGTTCCGAGTAGCAAGGTCCCTGTGTATGAAGTTCTTCGAGCTCAGGTATTCCATGCCACTGGCAATATCAATCATGAACTTGAGCAGTGTCTGAAGAGGCAAATTCTGAAAGAAAGCACAGTTCTAGATTGGTCCCTCGAACATTCCAGGACTAAACTGGGGCATTTACCCACGGGTCTGCACTGGAAGTGGTGGAGAGGCAACTTGTCCTCAGTGCAAGCTGAACAAAGTAAAGTAATTTCAGAACTTGGTCAGCCTGGAGTCTCCAGCAGGATCTAAACCTTCTAGACCCTTGCAAGTACCTATCAGAGGTAAAAACTTGCACCTGTCTGAATGTGATCTTCACAAACCCACCCACCCCCTCCTGGGAGGGATCATGCAAAGAGAAAGACTTACAAAGGGGTTTTCTCCAATCCGAGACATCACCAAAAAAGCATGGAGGTCTCCATGCTTCATAAAGGGCAGGATGACCATGGGAATTGGAAGCCGACCCTTGGCGCGACTCCGTAGGCTGACTCCTGGGGTGAGAGAGCACACAGCAAAGAACAGTTTGCAAAGAGAGCCATTCTGAGCGGGGTGTTACACTTGCCTCTCCCTCTTCTTAACAGTCTAGGGCAAACACTGTCACTCACGTTTCTGGAGGGTTGAATTCCATATGCCCACCACCCTCCCAAGGCCTGATCCTCTTACCTCATGGGGAACTGTAGGTGCCACTCAGGAAGCACTTAGCTCATTACAGGTCTGGGCCCTAAAGTCCCTAGGTCCCTTCAAATGGAGTGATGACCTGCCTCTCAGTAATCAGAGCAATTTGCGTTTTGTTTGCATTGCCATAGAGCAAGGCAGGAAATGCCCTGTTGTCTTCTTCCTCAGTGTTTAGGAGTTTCTAATTGGACATAACAAAGGTTTATTTTTCTCCCTATTTTTTTCCACTGATCCATCCCACATGTCTCCTTCGCCACCATTCAGCCATTTCCCAGCCATGCTATCTGTGGCTAATGTTGCCCATGCATTCCCAAAAGCCAAAGAAGAATGGGAAAACAGTTTAAACAAGAGCAGTCAGTGACAGCTGCATTAAAAATGTGTGTGCCCATGCACATCTATAATTACACACACTTTCAACTCTCTATGGGCCTAAAAGGAGCAACAGCCACAACTCGCAGAATGAGGCGGCCCAATTGAATGCTGCTGTCTCCCCGGGGCTGCATTTCAGTGCTGTTGCAGTGTCTGCATACATGATATGTATAGGTTATGAAGCAGTTTGAGATCCGGCAGGACAAAAGGAACTATACTGTGCCACTGAACACTGCTGCTGGCTCACCGATCAGCTTAGTAACATGTGGGTGGTCAAACTCCTTCATGCAGGCAGCCTCTCGCAGGAATTCTTCGATGTCACTTGAGGTGAAGATGTCCGCTGGAAGGCAGAAGCACGAGATTTTTCCTCAGTGACTCAGAGGAGCATTAAGAAACATGATTATCAGAAGCTTGCTTTGTGCGGCATGAGACATTGTCTCAGACGCACAATGAGATAACATTTCACTACACAGCCAAGCCTGCCACACTCTCCTGGGAGAACAGAACTTAGTACAGAGAGCGCCTCAAGCATACATCAGGGACATCTGGTGACTTCATTCTTGGCAGAATGAGGACCTGTTGATTAGCAGCTCTTTTCTCAGCAACAGCTTTCCTTAGAAGCCACAGAAATCATGAGTGGGGCTTAAAGACGTGAGAATTAATTAGCTAAAAGGAACTGAATTATGAAGGGGAGGAGGGGAATGAGGTGATAGCCTGGCAGAAGACATTAAAGATGTTGTTGCCAACCAGTTGGATAGACTGGAATCCTAATCCAGAATGCGGGGGGGGAGGGGGGGAGACCATTTAATCCATGACCTTGGTGGTACAAAAGATCAGTATTTTTATATCCCTTAGCAGTACTGATTCTTTTAATTTGCAGGAGCAATTATTTCTTTGGCACTAGCAGCCTTGGAGATTTTGGACCAATTCAGCAGTGACATTCAAGGGCATGAAAGTTACTCACTGAGCCAGTTTTTGATGTGATCTCACCAGTAAAAATCTGAAGTAGCTTCCTAGATTTTTCTGCTGTTCTTACATATTTGTGCAGGTGTAAGTGAGATCAGGGTTCAGTGCAGCATGTCACTTTCCCCTTCCTTTACATCACTGCTGAATTTGAGAGAGTTCTTAAGATCTGGGAGATCAGATTCAGACTGAGAGGTTTACAAGCTGGTCAGAAAAACGCCTGCAAATGGCAAAGCACGGAAACTTGCACTAATCTGGCATTAAATACATGCAAAGTGAGTGTTGTCTGCAGTCTTGTTTTCAGTGGGGACCAAACTCAACTCTAAGCATAAGCAAGCATAACTTCAGTATAAGTCAATGGCAGCTGTACCCATTTACATCACGGCTGACTTTGGCTCCAGGAGTGATAGGGAAGGAGAGGCGCAGATTAGTAGGGGGAGGAGGGAAAAGAAGGGTCCTGTTTTATTTTAATCTGCTTTATCTGGTAGTTGCTTTTCCAGCTATACGCCCCACTTCCTGGTCAACATGGAAGTTGAGCTTGTTTTGTACATCCACTGAATGCCAAATCAGTAGGAGTTCTGCTATTTTTTCACTTGCACCCGACACAACTTATGTTACTATTTACTTCACCACTGAATTTGGCCCAGAGACTTTCACCCATTTACTCCATTGGATGGATTTGGCCCTTCATTGCTACCTGTGTAGGGTAAAGTAGCCTTGACTGAAGACAGAACTGTCTATGTCACAGGACTTGGCATGGTGTAGAAGCAAGAAACTGAGTAGTATTCTCTGTAGTTAGTAGTAATCAGGGCTTGACAAACAGCTGATTCTACTCGTCTATGGCGAGTAGATTTCAGCCGATCGCTCAGTGCGCCCTATTCACCGGCGCTGCGCACATGCGCGGGCGGGGCTGGTGAGTAGCTCTCGCCGTGGTTTGTCAAGCCCTGGTAGTAATAATATATACTATTTGCCCCTAGGGTTGCCTAGAATGTGCTAGGTGCTATACAAACCATAAGGAGGCATGGCTCCTGCCAATGTTGTCTCTAATTTTTCCATCCATGTGCTGAATAATGTTTGTTATGTGCACAAAGGCATATGCAGAGGTGCACCACCAGAAGAAACTCATGCTAATCAGCTGGGCAAGATTTGAATCTCTTCTGGGTGGCCACCTAATCGCTCAGCTTACAGTGAACACTGGCCCCTGTTCTGAAGAGCTTTTACATTTTAAAAGATGAAATGGACAGAGATGAAGGGGAAAGAAAAGGAATGAACAAACAAGTAAGGTGGGTCAGCAGGAGCTGACAACGTCCAGATGCAAATACTTTTTCAGCAGTTTGGGTGTGTATGGTGAAGTCCATGCTGACAGACATTTACCGATCAAAACTGAATCGTTCAACACCTAAATTCATTTTAAGTGTTTCAAGTGGCCCCATTTTCACCTACCTTTCAGCATCTTTACTGCGACTTTCTGGAGAGAGCCATCCTCCAGCTTCAGGAGTGCCTCTCTAACTGACCCAAACTCCCCTGTGGAATACCAGAGCAGGCAGTAAGGAGACCATGCTAGCATAGATGATTTGCATCATATTTAATTCAGGGATCACAGGGCGGCGAAGCTGGGAGCGGAAGAGCTATAAGTATTACTATCAGTGCCATTGGTCTTATAGCAGCCTCATTTAGTGGCCCATGAGCATATGTGTGCCTGTGAGGCTGGGACAGTGTGACCAAGGGAAAGGGAATACTGTGATGGAGGGATGCTAGAGAGGGGACAAACAGAGCAGTTTCAGCTGGCAATCTTTTGCTGACTGAGGACATGCAGAGCTGGAGGGAGGATCCTGAATGGATTGCAGCTGAGGAGTATTTTGGAGAGGAGATATTGCAAGGGTCTTGGCGGAATGGGGATTGGCTGGAGGCAGAGAGGGGACTCGAAGTTGCAGAACTAAGGAAGTTTTCATCTGAGGAAACTTTCCAAGGTGACAGCTGTCAGAGATGACAGCCCAATGACTGTGCCAGGGGGATTCATCAATTGCGACATAATGAGGCCATATCTCTACAAGTTCAGGGATTGAAATCCACTAACTATAGCGGGCCTGACAATCTATACAAGCAATTGTGTGGGGACAGGAGGCACATCAATCACTGAGGGTTGGGTGGGGTGGGGTAAATCTCTCCAGTGGAAACAAGGCCCTGGTGTAGACAAAGCATGGCTGGCTACACTATGTTAAAGTTGTTTTGGCCTGAAGTGGTTTTAAGTCTTAACATGGATTTAAAGCAAATATAATGTATCTGTTGGCATTAGTCTCAATTTAGCTTTGGCTTGCCTGATAGGACCACTTCCTGCAAAACTGCTTATCTGGAAGACAAATGGACTCAGTTTGAGGGATATTGTTTCAGATCAGAAAGCTGCCAAGTAAGTAGGACTGGAGCAAAAGTGAGGAAGTGAGCAGGATGGTTCTGGCATCTACACCGCAAAGGGAAAGAACCTGATAGAAGTTAGCTTCTTTCGGCTGGCTTTTCTCCAGTGCCATCCTCAATGCTGCATGTGATCATCCCACAATCACAGTGCACAGAAGATCAGGTCACAGGACCCAAAGCGAGAGGGGTAAAGATAAAAGGCAGCTGAAAGACACCTTTATGCTGTCCCTAGGGGTAACCAAAAAATGTTACCCAGCAGGGGACGGCCGGAGCACTCCACCCATGCCCTCTTCCACCTCTATAACACCCCTAAACTGAGAACTGAGGTTGGGGGCTTGGAGCAGATGATGCAGAACTTGCTGTACCAGCCTATGCTCACGTGAGATTCTCTCACGCTAACGGAATGTCCTAACAAGACATTTGGATAATTTTCCAGCTCATTTATATCATAGGAGCACCCTTAGAAAGTCAGAGTAAGAGGTAGGGACCTGGCCAGGTGGATCAACAGTGGGGTGATTCTTGGTACCTGTCAGTGAAATCTGCACACAAGCAGCAGGCACATGTTGCCTCCACACCAATTCTACCCACGATCTATTGCCTAGCGGCATCAAGATCTGAGCCCCTTTCTTCAGCAGAAAGATTGCCCTCCTACCATGAAACTGACTTTCAGAAGCACATTTTTTTGAAGGTGGAGGAAGTGGGTGTATGGAGGGCGGAACAGTCTCACTTGAGCAGGATTGAAGAGAATTGCATTAAAGCTAATCTTAGAAACCTATTGTTTATGTTAAAAAGAAAACCAGCTCCCTTTTCCAATGCCTATGCCACCTGATTTCTGTTTCCCTTTTGATTCCTTGATGGCCTTTTGATTAAATGCTTTATGTTTTTCTAGTGAACTAAACCTGAACTAAAAGCCTGAAGCTGAACACCCCCAAATTTTGGAAACATTCAGATCCAGCTGCAGACTTATCTCTATAATGCTGCAAGCCCAAATCTTGGATTCAAACATCTCCAGACTGAGAATATTTGAATCTAGATCCAAATAATTTGCTTGGACTTGTGGCAATACTCCCTCTTTTCCATCCACGGGTGGACTTTTTCCACCCACGTGCAGAATAAATTTTGTTATGCTTACCAAGGCATGTATCACCACCAGGAGAAACACAATCTTAGCTGCGGGTGCTCTGCTAATCAGCTGGGAAGCATTGGAATCTCTCCTGAGTGGCTACACAAGTGACAACTTACAGGGAACACTGCTTATGGCAGGGGGGTTGTAAAATGCCTCATATTATCTGTGGCATCTTATTTCGCTTAAGACTTTAAAACATATTGAGATACAATTTGTATATAACTCCTTCCATGCCATTCAGTTGTACTATATACATTTTTTAAGTTGAAAGGGTGGCTGAAATTTAAGCTACTATTCCTTAGCCTGGAGAAAAAAACCTGGGAAGTTTGTATATGCTGGACTAGGAATACTGTGTTGTAACCGGGTTATGAGACTCATTTGTAGCTATCAAACACATAGGCTGTGTCTACATTGGCACCCCTTTCCGGAAAAGGGATGCTAATGAGACCAGTCGGAATTGCAAATGCCGCAGGGGATTTAAATATCCCCCGCGGGATTTGCAATTCTGAAGTGTCTCATTAGCATCCCTTTTCCGGAAAGGGGTGCCAATGTAGACACAGCCTATGTGTTTGATAGCTACAAATGAGTCTCATAACCCGGTTACAAAGCTTTCAGGAGCTGAATGATAGATGGGGCCTAATCACATCCCCATAACCAAGCCAAAGCCTTGAACTGTTTTAACCCAAGAGCTGGTTACAGCCCCTACAACTTTTATCCATGTTTAACAGGATCAAGGGAAAATTTGTAACCACTTCTCCATACTTGGCAATGTTTGAAATATTGATGGGGGTGTTAGGTCTTGCTTGGGTTTTAGTAAAGACTCACCCTTGCCTAGCATCCTTCCCAGAGTGAACTGTTGTTCCTGGATTAGAACATCTTTGAGTTTGGTCTTCAGGTCATCGCTGATCCCTATGCTGTCCACTGGATAAATGAAAGGAGGAGGGGTTGAAAGAGGAATGCATGACCAAAGGTTCTATGAGACCAGCCAGTGAGTCCAGCCTTTTAGCACTTTCCCATGATCTAGTCCCTTCATACCTACTCCAACATTATATGCTGGTGAATCTGGAACAGAGAGGACTCTTCCCACATCCTTGAGCCCCATGCAAAGCAAGAAGCCAATAATTTTCAGGCATATGAAATTTGCTCTTTCAGTGCCAAAGAGGCAGAGATGAAAATGCTGCGATAACACTGCTCTTGGTAACTCCAAAAGTAAGTGGGATATAAGAGTGCAGTAAATAACAGTGAGGAGCCAGACTTGTATCAATTTTCCAGACGGTGACTGAGACCTCCACTGGTGTAAATCAGCATATCTCCACTGACGTCTATGGAGCTGTACCAGTTTGCAACGGTTGAGGAGCTGGCCCTTAGCTATTACACAGAGTACAAATCTCACTGTGACTGATGGAGATGGACAAGATAATACACAGGACATGATGGGCATTAGGGCAACAGAACCATTTCTGACTCCAGAGGAGCCGAGTCAAAGGCGTGTGTTGCAACCATCCCAGTCCAGCAGTGCAGCACGGCTCCAAGCAATCGCCCCTTTGCAGAAATGAGAGCATGGGACACAGAATTGGAAGCCAGAAATTCTAATCCTGGCTCTGACTCTTGCACAAATCACTGAACTGTGACTCAGCTCCTCATCTGTAAACAGCAGCCTAATATTTCTTCCTTGCTGCACACTGGTGTTCAGAGGACTGATTAATTAGTTCATGTTTGCACCACATTTTGAAGGGCTATTTTTAATGCTAAGGGCTATTCTATTATTGTTATTAGACCAGATTAGTCTCCATTAGAGCACTGACATTAAAATCTACAGTATCACACTAGCCTAACACTGGAGCAATGAATAAGACCCATTTTGCTTTGGACTGTAGTATAGAATGATAGTCCCCCGACGATGTGCGTTAAGTGTAAAATCAAATGCAGAGGGGCTAGAAGCTATGTAATTAAGTAGGCTAACACACTAGCCTGTCATCCAATATGGTAGCTTCAACCCAGATGCTTGTGGACATCTGTCCACAAGACAGTCCAGCCCTACAGACATCCTTTTCCCCAGAGCTGGATTAGACAGAGGGTTAGCATTT